GATGATGAGGATATTGAGGATATTGAGGACGAGGATGCTGCTGCTGCTGCTGATGATGATGATGATGGAAGGTATGATGATGGTGATGATGATGAGGTTGATGATGATGATGATGATGATGATGATGATGATGATGATGATGATGATGATGATGATGATGATATTATGATGGTGGCGATGCTAGTGGTGGTGGTGATGATGATGAGGATGACGATGAGGTTCAGGATTAGGATGCTGATGATGACGATGAAGATGATGATGATGATGATGATGATGATGATGATGATGATGATGATGATGATGATGATGATGATGATGATGATGATGATGATGATGATGATGATGATGGTGATGATGATGCCCTCTCCTCGGTCATCATGTCTTCGGTTCTTCAGTCCCAGATTCTCGTCGCCGTATTTTTTCCACAGCGTGGATCCCCGGATGTCTGGACTTCTTCCCAGGGGCTGGCTTTGCACCCCGAGCGGTCTTTTGACGGCCTCGGGAGGTTCAAGCGGTCCCCGTCGCTGTTGCCTTCGTCGTCGTCGTCTTCTTCCTTCTCGTCGTCATTCTCGTTTCTGTTCTTCTTCTTCTTCCTCTTATTCCTCCTCCTCCACTTCCTCCTCCTCCTCCTCTCCTCCTCCTTGTCATCTTCCCCGGAAGTTCGAGGGGCGAGGTCTTTCGAAGGGAGAGACTCCCAGGCCCCCCCAGGGGCTGGGAACCTCTGGAGACCTCCGGAGGCCCTCGGGTACCTCCGACGACCCCTGGGGGACCTGACTTGGGAGGCCTCCCTGCAGTCTCGCCCCTCCCCTCGTCGTCCGCAGCTGCCAAGCAGTGGCTGAGCAGCTGCCGCCGCGGCGGCAACGCGGGCACCGGTCCGCCTCAGGTTCCGTTCCGTTCCATTCCCTCGTCGTCCTCCTGCTTTTGCGACGACCTGCGAACCTTCCCCCTGCGGGTCCAAGGTGTGAGATGGATAGCTTGATGCCTTATCCTCGTCTCGCGCAGGCGAGAGATCGCAAAACTCAAGTGACCTGGGGCCTCGTCGAGCCAAGCGTTCGCTGGGAGTCTGGAGCGAGAAAGTCCGGGCGCGCGCAGCGGGCCAGACGCGGAGCAGAATCAGACGCTGCCGGAAGTGGCTGGGATCACGCTTCTCCTGCACGGGCGCTCTTGGAGCCAGGTCGGCCGGGCACGGACAGTTCTGTCGATGGCGCTCGCTTGATCCACGGCGGGAAAACACCGAGCACGGGGGTGGGTGGGCCAACGGCTTAGCTCGGCTCTCAACAGGGCGCCTCTGGCTTTTGCTGGATGAGCTGCGCAGAATGATGGACAAGCAATTTTCAATATGCGGGTTCATGGTTCTTACTGCTTTGTAATTCTAAATAAAGCCAGGAGGTCGTTATCACTGCTGCGTGGCAGCAGTGTGCACTTATCGGGTATCGGGTGCTGGCAATACGGATATCGGCAATGCGGATAGATATCGGGTATCAGTGCCCCAGTTACTTTCTAGAAAATACGAATCGACCGGCATGTTCTGTATTCAGTCGCGCGCGCGAAGCTAGTGAGATATCCAGCGCACGCCTTCTTTCGCTGTCGTTGGTTTTGGAGACTTGGCCTTGCGTCTCGGCTTGCGTTGGGCTGTCCCGTGATCTGTCTTCAGCTGATCTCGGCGTCCCATCGGAGTGAGTAGAGTCGGGCCGAGGTGTAAGATCGAGGTCGGTTCGGGGAGGGTGCCTTCGTGTTCTTCGCGTTTTCGATGTCATTGTGCATCCTGGGGAGGATGTCCTTTGAAGTTTTGCCTGGTTTGGCCGACGGAGGGTCTCGTATTCTTGAGGGGTGTTCGTCTGGCCTTGGACTGACTGTAGTGAAGCGACGAGAAATCGGGCGTCCTGGAGTTTGATGCTTCCTGCATGTTCGGTGCGTGGTGAAGACGCTGTGCGGCTTGTGCCCCGCGCGAACGTCGTGAACGTCATTTTGCGCGCACGAGTTGAGCTCTACGGAAGGCGCGGTGGGCGTCGATCGTTTCCACGAAACGATGCTTTCCGAAGTTAAGATGGGAACGGTCATCGGTGTAGATGGTGATGCAGTCGAAGGCGGCTGAGCCGCATCTGGGGCTGAGTTCGCTGAGGTGGATACAGCTGGCGTTGCAGCCGTCTTCGGGGTCATCGGCTCGTCCGGGTCTGGAGTGCGTCGGGCTCTCGTAGGGCGTGCTGTCGATGATGAGGCTGCGGTAGTTTTTGCTTCGCTGTTGGCCCGTCCACGATGGCGCCCACCCTTCGCGCGGTGTTCGCCTCGGACCTTCGACTCGAATGTTCGTGGCAGGCCTGGCAGTAAGGTTGACTCCCATCATGATGCCCTGAGGAGCGCGAATCGCATCGTGCAGTAATCATGATCGTACCAGTATGTGGCCAAATCCATGGTGTGCCCGGGCGTGGGTGATGGCGTCGGCTGCCCCGTGACCGTTCCGATGCAGTTCAGCGGCGTGGATGCTGGCATCGCCGCGCGGGGCTGGCCTGTGCCGAAGCCGTGATTGTGGGTTCCGAAAAGTGGTTTCATCGCGCCAGGCTCCACTGGTGAGCGCGTCGGCGACCATGGGCCAAGTCAGGATCCAAGTGCGGCGCCAGGTGCCACGCGGGTGCGCGGCCCCCTTGAACATCGAGGCGACGACGCGGATGCGCTTGCCCGCGGACTGGCCGCGTCGGCATTAATGTGGGTGACGAGGCCGTGGCTGTCGCTGTAGAGTTTGCCTGGGGTCTGGGGCTCGGGATCTCGATCTCCTTCAGCGGCTTCTTCCGAATGTAGGCCTCGGCGAGTAGCTGTCGGAGCCGCGCGTTTATCTTGGCCCCCTCGAGCGCGGCGCAGCCCGTTTGCCGCGAGGGCTGACTTTGTTGATCTCTTGCTCGCGCCAGAATGCTGGGCAACGGGCGAAGGCAGGTCATGGCGCCCCCCTGCCGCGTCTGGCGGCCAATGGATTAGGCCCATCAGCGTGCCCCCCTGACTCCAGGCCCCGTTCGCGCTGGCGAAGGCGGCGCTGCGCAAACACGCGGTTGCGCGCGTCTACCTGTCGACGGCGTTTCGCTTCAGCACGGTGGCGAAATTGGCCGGTGCGTGAGCGTAGGCAACCGTCATGTCGGGAGTCTTGTCGCCGGCCACTGGCGACGTTGGTGCGGCGGGCTGCGAAGCCCACTGGGGATGCGATGTCCACCCTCGCCCGTGCTGCCAACCAGAGCAGCTGTCCGAGTGTGTGCCTGTAGCTCGACTCGGCTGGAGTGAGGCGCTCGTCGGCTGGTCGTGCTTGTTTGGCGGCGAGCTCGACGCGGCCCGCTTGCGACGCGGCGGTGGCTTGGACCACCCGGAACGCGTCGTCCGTCTTGGCGATGGACCGGCCGCTGTCTTGATGATGCAGTCGGTCTTCTAGAGGTGCAGCGTTTTCTCAGGCGCGTTTATGGCGGAGTTCCACGTGGCGGACGCGCGGCGCCGCGCAATCTGGGAGTCGTCTTCGCGCGAGCAAATCATGGCGGCAAGGGCCTTGCCATCGTGACATTATAGAGGCGTTTCTCGAGCCACTTTGAGCGCGGAGGTGCCGATGCCAACCTGCCTGCGTCTCGGGCGCGGTGGATGGCGCCCGTGGCCGCCGCGATCTCGCTGGGGCGCATGCCCAGCGGCGGGTTCTTCGCCGGCATCCGCGGGGGCAGGAACCTTTCGATGCTGCCCGACTTTAGGTGGGCCGTCATCCCGTCGCAGGGCGGTGGGTCCCACCCTGTCTGGGCGGCCGCGGTCATTGTGGGGTGCGAGGGGTCGCGCGATCCCGTCGGCGCGTCCGTTCTGATCTGAGAGTTGCCCCCCTGGTATCCGTGGGCGACGGGCGGGGCTGTCCTTCTGCTGGTGAGATCCCATCGTGTACCCGCGGGTCACATTCCAGGGTGGCGGCGCAGCAGCTCCTCAAACTCCCTTGGCGGAAGCGTCTTGTAGGCGCCGAGCTAGTTCTACTCGGAGCACTCCGTCTTCATGGCGGCGTCCGCGATCTTCCAAACCTGCTGGAGTAGGTCGCCATCGCGAAGCTACTTGTCTGCGGCGATGCAGGTCAGAAGCATGTCGCGAAGCTTTGCCGAGGCTTGTAGGTCTTCTGCGCGGCAGTTGAAGTAGTTGTCGAGCTCGGCGGCTTCGCTGATGTTTTGGGGGGGTTGATAAATTGAGTTCGGCGGCTTCGCTGATGCTGTGGGAGATATTGAAATTTAACTTGACCGCTTAGCTAAAGTTCTGGGGGGCGGAAACTTGAAGAGCAAGGCGTCGCTGACATCCGGACAGGCTGGGTTTAGAGCCGTCGCTCACGGTTAACATTATGAATGTGGCGATTTGCAGTCAAACGCCGCTGGCCGTCGATTCCGTCAACGATGGCGCGGCCGTCGTCTTGATATGGATCGCGTCGTGCGCGGCGCGGCGGGCAGCAGCATCAGCTGCGCGGATGTTGGCCGGGACGCAGACGTTCCCACGGACTACTTTGATATGGATCGAATGATGATGCTGTATCTTCGTTTCGCGCAGCGGTAGATCGCGTAGCTCAAATGATCAAACGGCCTTGTCGAACCATACGTCCGCGGGGAGCTTGGGGCGAGAAAAGAAATTCCACGCGCAACGGGCCAGACAGGGAGCAGAGGCGGAACCTGGCGGAAGAGATTGGAATCACACGAGGGACGGTGGGGCCGATGCGCGCTTCGATGGCCCGTGGGCCAGATCGGCAGGACAGATCCTACCGTGGCTCTCGGGCGCGAAGGAGCTAACCGATCAGCATCCAGAGGCTCCCGTGCCACACCAAGTGGTCGGAATCCTCAGGGTTCTGGGCTGGGCTTTCCTTGCGGGTGGCTTTTCGCGGCCGAGCTCCACAGTGTGCACGCCTGCCGTTTCCGCCGCCCCCGCCGCCCACCCTGCTCCTCCCGGGGGCACGCCGCTGCCGCCCCCTGCCGCTGCCCATCCTGCTCCCCCTCCCTGCCGGCGGGTGGGGCCAGGCATGCCGATGGCGATGATGCCTGGCATGCACGGGATGCCGGCCGGGGCCGCGGGGATGATGCACGGCTACGGCGGCTGCCCAGGCGTGGGGGCGGCGGCGACGGCAAGGGTCGAATACCCCCAGGGGTGGGCGTTGCACGCATCCCTCCAGGAGCCTCGCCGAAAACGTGGACCATCGGCGCCCTCGGATGCATGTGTGGTTCTCCCCTGGGCTATTCGCCCCCGTCGTCGCCTCCGTCGGAGGGCCCAGATTTAGAGGAAGAGGGGGGAAAATGGAGGAGGAGGAGGAGGAGGAGGAGGAGGAGGAGGAGGAGGAGGAGGAGGGGAGGAGGAGGAGGAGGAGGAGGAGGATGAGGAGGAGAGGAGGAGGAGGAGGAGGGAGGAGAGGGGAGGAGGAGAGGGAGGAGAGGGAGAGAGGGAGGAGGAGGAGAGGAGGAGAAGAGGGAGGAGAGGGAGGAGAGGGAGGAGAGGGAGGAGAGGGAGGAAAGGGAGGAAAGAGAGGGGAGAGGGAGGAGAGGGAGAGAGGAGGAGGAGGGAGGAGAGGGCGGAGAGGGAGGAGAAGGAGGAGAGGGAGGAGAGGGCGGAGAGGGAGGAAGAAGGAGGAAAGGGAGGGAGAGGGAGGAGAGGGAGGAGAGGGGAGGGAGGAGAGGGAGGATAAGGAGGAGCGGGAGGAGAGGGGAGGGAGGGAGAGGGAGGAGAGAGGGAGAGGGAGGAGGGAGGGAGAGAGGAGAGGGAGGACAGGGAGGAGAAGGAGGAGAGGGAGGAGAGGGAAGAGAGGGAGGAGAGGGAGGAGAGGGAGGAGGGAGGAAGGAGGAGGGACGAGGGACGAGGGACGAGGGACGAGGGACGAGGGAGGGAGGAAGGGAGGGAGGGAGGGAGGAAGGGAGGGATGGAGGGAGGGAGGAGGAGGAGGAGGATAAGGAGGAGGAGGAGGAGGAGTTACCGATACCGCTGGCCTTCTCTCGTAAGCACGGCTGGTGTTCGCTCAGAGCGCACCCCTGGAGAGATGCGTGGAGTTGCGGTACAGGTACGTTCCTGCTTCCCCAGACTTGAGACGGCACGTTTTTTCAATTGCCGCGTTCCTCGTTTCGGCCCCCGAGAGGCCGCTTCCGTGCCGCGGGGCGGTCCAATTTTGTTCAGGGACGTAAGACGACGGCAGGTTCGCGATGTGTCGACGTGGCGGCGACCCTGCCAGGGGCGGTCAAGATTGAACGCCGCCAGTGGTCCAGAATCGGCCAACATGGGACGATCTGGTGATCGAAGAGCCGCTGATCGTTCGAGGCTGAACGATCCACGCGGTGTTAGAAACCAACGCCAGGGTCGTTCGTCACGACACGAATCTGCCGTACTCCGGGTGAAGTGGTCGGAAGTTCTGGGGCTGCAGATTGAGAAGGTCATATCGGAGGATGCCTGGGAGCAGGGGGAGGCCTGGGGTAATCCACCTCTGCTGCCGCGCATATCTGCCACCGTGCTTGCGCCCCTCTTGGGGGCCTCAAGGGAGTCTCTCAGGGCCCTTGGCTTCCCTGGGGCTCTTTTGCGACGGGGTTGGCCCATCTTCGCCTTTGGACACTCTTGGGTCGTCTTGGGGGCATGTCGGCTGTCTCGGGCCGTCGTCTTCGGGACCTCTGTGGGACCTCTATGGCCATCTCGGGCGCCTCTTGGGTTTCTCTCCGGGGCCTTTCTGGGATCGCTTGGGCCCCTTTTTGGCCGTCGTTGGCCGTCTGGGGCCGTCTTCTTGGGATTATTCGGGCCGTCATGGGCCCCTCTTGGCTTCTGGCTCGCTTTGGTGCCCTCCTGCCTCCAGAGCAGTTGCGCAGAGACAAGGGAGGAACCGCAGGAGCGCCTGGCAGAGCCCCGTACTCGGGGTTGCGGGCCCCATGGAGGAGTGTTACAGTGTTGCGAAGACATTGCGAAGGGTGCTGCCGACCCTGAAGGCTGGACCTCCCCCAGGACCCCCGCTGGAGCCCCTCGCCGGGACCCGCTGGGAGCTTGGGGGTGGCGGGATCCTGATCTGGGACCGCCTCCCCCCGACCGCAGGCGGGCCCTCCCCCGGGGCCCCCGCTGGCGACCCGCCCGGGTAGGGCTGTTCCTTTGTCCCCCCTGTCCACGTACAGGGGGAGCCCACCCCGGACCCGCCAGGACCAGGACCCCCTGGGGGGGTTGATGGGGGCCCCCTTGGAAGAGTGTTGCGATGTCGAAGGCGCCTACGGCGAACCACCGCCGCCCCCCGCCTTCTGGAATCGCCCATGTGGCCGAGCGTCGTGGCAAGAGCTCTGCCAAGCTATCGGACCAGGTGTTCCCTTAGCCGTTGCAGAAACCCTTCGGGGAACACTTGGGTGAGGATGGCGGGGAAGATCAGGAGGAGGAGGAGGAGGAGGAGGAGGAGGAGGAGGAGGAGGAGGAGGGGGAGGAGGAGGAGGAGGAGGAGGAGGAGGAGGAGGAGGAGGAGGAGGAGGAGGAGCCCCGCGTCCCGTGCGTTGCCGCGCGTACAGAAGTAAGGGGAGTTATCCCAGAGATTCGTTTCATGGTTCGACCTGTCATCGGACTCCACTCCCTGCCTTGCTGGTCCCGACGGGAGGCATGTTTCCCAGCTGGGGCATGTACGACCCCAGGTACGTGGCGCAGATGCAGCAGGAAGGGCCTTTTCGGAGCGTCATCGCCCTCGTCGCCGTCGCCGTCGCCGCCACAGGCGTTGTCGTCGTCGTCGTCGTCGTCGTCGTCGTCGTCGTCGTCGTCGTCGTCGTGGTCGTCGTCGTCGTCGTCGTCGCCGTCGTCGTGTTCGTCGTCGTCGTCGTCGTCGTCGTCGTCGTCGTCGTCTTCGTTTTACTCATCGTCGTCGTCGTCGTCGACGTTTGTCTCGTCCTCTCTTTCGTTGTCCTCGTCCTCGTCGGAGGTCCTTTCGGAGCTCCTCTCTCCGATCGGAGGATGCCGAGTGTGCCCCCAGGCAGGGGCCTCTGCCTGCTACTTTTTCCCTTCCCCGCCCTCATTTATTGCCAACCTCCCCTTGGGTGGTTTCTCGTTCTGAACGGAGCAGTGTGGGCCCCACCTTCTCCTCTTCCTCCCTCCCTCCTCCCTCCTCCCAGCCTCCCAGCCTCCCCTTCATCCTCTCCCCTCAGCCCCCTCCCTCTCTTTCCTGTTCAGTCATCCTCTCCCTCGTCGAGACATCGCGGGCCCTTCCTGGTTACGAACCGCGCCAATGTCGCCATTTTCGTGGGCTCCTTGGAGGTCCAGCGGAGTGGACGTCCACGCAGATTTGCCGAGACCTCGCGGCTCCTTGCGGGGTCTGCGAACCGCGCAACCGTCGCCCATTTCGTGGGCTCCTGGGAGGTCCAGCGGAGTGGAGGTCCACGCAGATTTGCCGAGACCTCGCGGCTCCCTACGGGGTTGCGAACCGAGCAACCGTCGCCATTTTCGTGGGCTCCTGGGAGGTCCAGCGGAGTGGATGTGCACGCAGATTTGCCGAGCCTCGCGGGCCCTGGGGGTCTGCGAACCGCGCAACCGTCGCCCATTTCGTGGGCTCCTGGGAGGTCCAGCGGAGTGGAGGTCCACGCGGACCCAGCCTAGACATTGCGGCTCCCTGGGGGGCTGCGACATGCGTTTCTCTCATCATGCTCGTTTGTATTGAGCGGTCCTCGAGATAGCTACCCCGTGTGAGAAAAGGGTTGGGTACGTCACCGGGTAATCCGTTCTCGTCCTCCCCGCCCGCTCGGATGGGACGTGGAAAGGAAGGGAGGCCAGTTGGATTTGGCATGCGGTCTCGGCCCGGCAGCCCGCACCTCGAGCCCTCTCCCAAACTTGAAGGGGCCCCGGGACACACGAGTGAACACAGACAAATAGCAGGATTCCCCACATTTTCCCACATTCTCTGCGCTTTCCCCCCCCACTTCCCATGTTTTCCCGTATTTTCCTGGGAGTCGACGATTCATTGTGTTTGTGTGTGTGTGTGTGTGTGTGTTTTTCTGCTGAAAACTGTCCTTCCCGGCGAGATGCAGCAGCTGCAGCAGATGCAGCAGATGCAGCAGCTGCAGGCAGGAGGCGCGCACAAGGCCGGCGCATCGCTTCCCTGCTCTCCCCGCTCGTCACCTCTCAAGTTGGTGCCCTTCGGATGCACGGTGTTACCCATCGGTGTTACCCATGCATTCCCAGATTTCAATCTACTTTCAGCGCCTTCCTACTTCAAGAGTCGAGCGGTTTTCCCTCCTCCCTCCTCTTCAGGAGGCAGGCGGAGACCCAATCTGTTCCCAACGCCCTCCTACTTCATGTCTCTACCAACCTCTTCCGACCGATGGGTACACGTATTTCCCCTTCCATGCACATCTCAAGCCTTCTGTGTGTGCTATCTCTTGCAGACGTGCTGTCCGTTTGCTCCTCGTCTCAGTCGCCCGTGCCCTCTCCTGCTGCGGGCCGCTCCCTTGTGCTCTCGCCTGGCGCCCCAGCCTGCACTGGACGGCCGCACTGCAAGCGTGGACGTGAGCCACGATTCTGCTGTTGCTTCCAGGGGGCCACATGTGAACCCTACCCCATACCCCCCAACGATTTCTGAGGGGGAGGGTGGGGTTCACTTCACTCGGGAGCTCCCGAACGAAGTGAACCCCACCCTCCCCCTCAGAAATCGTAGGGGGGTAGGGGCAGGGTTCACATGTGGCCCCCTTGCTTCGCCAGGGTATTCTGGGCTTCTTGCGATCGAATGGTCTGCAATCTGCAATCGCGACAGGACCACAATACTCGAACTCACGGAGTCTTTCGGATTCTTGGTGGAGATTCCCTGTAGCTCCCTCCTCCAAGAAAGGCGACAATTACGACGGCCATCTTGCGAACATGTGGTCATTCGTTTCTCTCTCTCCCTTGCACCCGCCCGCTAAGTCCACCCCCCTCTTGGGGGGCTGCTTCTCATACCAGCTCCTGGAAGAAGCATCCGGCAGTGCACTCTGCGTGCGCACCGCGCCGACATGGCCGCACTGCGAGTTAATGCTCCCGCGGGCAACTCATTAACCTGAGTGAGTTGCGAGGACGTCTCGGGCGAGAGCGCCGCTCCTGAGATTGGGGGCGCCCAGGGCGCCTCAGGGTAAACTGCGAGGATGTATCGAGCGGCAGCCGTTGCCATCGCAGCTGGGCTTCCACAAAACGGAATGACTTGCGAAAGCGTCTTGGGCGAGCTTTGGGCGAGAGTGACATTACCGAGTTTGAGATTGTGTGTGTGCGTATCTAAGTGTTGATGACCATAGCGCGCGCGAGTAGATTGTGAGGACGCATCCAGCGGGAACCGTTGTCGTCATAGTTGGGCCTTCATCGTCTTGACTGAATTTCGAGGACGCCTCGGGCGAGAGCGCCGCTCCTGAGACAGGGGGCCTCAGGCCAGGGCGTCCCATAGTAAGCTGTGGGGAAGTGTCGAGCGGGAGCTGTTGTCTTCGCAGTTCGCGGGCTGCTCTGGCCAGGGCAACTCGGAGTAACTCGCGAGGAAGTGCCGAGCGGGAGCCGTTGCCGTCGAAGTTGGTCTGGCCAGCTGACGGCCGACCCCACCCCCCGACGACAGCCATTCTCGGCACCTGCGACCCGGCGGAGGGGGGTGCTCGGACGGGGAGCGGCGGTGCGCCGCATGGCCTGCGCTGCCAGCGTGGCGCTGCGGCGGCGGGCGGCAGCCTACGCTCATCGAGCAAAGAAGAACCCCTAAGCTTAATAACACGATGAAGACGTGGCCTCACTGAGGTTCCCTTTGTTCATTTGGGATCATAGCTCTGGCTGGTTTGGTCTGATGCATCTGCAGAAAAGACCTCCTATCACTAGTTTTTTTGGTCCTCCTAACTTAGGTCCCCTCCCAAAGGGTTCCTTGGGTGGGTGCCTTGGGTTTCTTGAGTTTCGATCGTTTTCCTCTCGAAAGCGCGACGTTCCCGCACCAACGCATGAACGGACCTCTTGGGGCCCCTCAGGGTCTGGTCTCCGGTGGATGGCTCCTTGTGACCGAGTCCCTGCTGGACGTCACTGCGTGCTGGCCCGACGGAGTCGACGACGTCCCAGGGCACGTGCCCCCCCCCCTGGCGCCCCCAGCGCTCCCCGCAGCCGCCCCCGCCCCCGCCCCCTGCGCACGCGCGCCCGGCGGCGGGGGGGGCCCGGAGGCTCGCGCCTCGCGCGCGCAGCGGGCGCCTCCTCTTTTGGGGGGCGCCCGGGAGGCGCGGCGGAGGTGCCGAGAGCAGCGCAGAGCGCTCGGGGGCCTCGCGGCTCGGCCGTGGGCCGCGAGCTGCGCAGCCGCCACCACTGGCCCCGGCGGAGGCGGGGGCCCGCGCGGATCACCGGGAGGCCTCGCGGCTCCCACGGGGTTTGCGAGCGGCGCAGCGGTCGCCATGTTCGTGGGCTCCTCGGGGGGGCACGGCGGAGGTGGGGGGGCCCGCGCGGATCATGTTCGAGACCTCGCGGCTCCCTCGGGGTCTCCGACTTGCGCAGCGGACGCCATTGTGGAGGACTCCTGGGAGGCACAGAGTAGTGTAGCTCAGCGCAGATCGTGCATATTTCGCGATGTGTGCTTTTGTATGGTGTGCTCATACAACTGGTCGTCTCGCTTGGAGAAGGGGTCGGGTTACGTCTCGGGTAATGCTTCTCTTCACGACGCGAGGAGGTCTGACGGAGACGACAGCGAGGGGCGCCCATCAACAGTCGCCAGCCAACCAGCGCGGCGACTGGCCTGGTCTTTGCAGGGGTCCCGCTGTTTTTTGTTGATGCAGGACCCGTCGTCCCCAGTTCAGCTTGGTTCAGCTTACGTCGGCTCAGTTCTGCTCAGCCCCGGCTCAGCTTGCCTGGCAGCCAAGGCTCAGCCTAGCCGAGAGCAGCGCTGCTCAGCTTACCTTTCAGCAGCTCCAGGCCCGAGGCTTCGCCCAGCCGAGCTCCAGAGTCCTCTCCGCCGCGCCGCGAGGCCGCCGCCGCTGGCGAGCAGAAGGCTGGCAGCAGCAGCAGCAGCAGCAGCAGCAGCAGCGGCGGGGCCTCGTCCAGCTCGCAGCCGGCGTCGCGCTCGAGCTCCCGGGGCAGCAGCGAGGAGGCGCCCCGCCCGGCGCGGGGCAGGAAGTCTGCGCAGCACACGAGCACGCGGAGATGCGCGCGGGTCTCTGTTGGTCCTTCTCGCCGCCGTCGCCCCGCCTTCTCCCTCCTCCTCCTCCTCCTCCTCCTCCTCCTCCTCCTCCTCCTCCTCCTCCTCCTCCCTCCACCTCCCTCCACCTCCTCCTCCCTCCGCCTGCTCCCTCCGCCTGCTCCCTCTCTCGGACGCTAGCCTTCGGCGTAAGCTCTGGAGGCACCCCTGCGCCGAGCCCGAACCCTTTCCTGGGCTTTCCCTCCGAGCCTGGTTTCACGCGTTTTCCGGAGCTCGGATCCTGATCCTGATCCTCACTCCCTCGCTCCCTCCCTCGCTCCCTTACTCTCTTCGATCCTGGCTCCTCGCGTCCCTCCCTCCTGCGTCATCCCCTGGGTGCGCGCAAGAGCGGCCCTTACTCTCTTTTCGATCCTCCCTCCTCGCCCCTCCCCCTCCCCCGTCGTCCCCCGGCTGCGCGCAAGAGCGGCCCCTGTCTCTCGAGGGCGCCGCGGCCTGCCCCTCCGAGGCTGCCCGCGCGGCCCCTGCCTCCGCCGACATGCCGTGCTCCTTTCTCATCCGGCCACGGCGTCTTTCCTGTCGTTTTTTTTTGGCTTCGCCGGGTCGCCGTGGGGGAGGCGGGTCCCGAGGGAAGCGGGCCCCCGAGCTTTCTCTTTGCCGCGCTCGGGCTCCTCGGAGCCCTCCGCGGGCCCCAGGGACCGTCGGAAGGGGGCTCAGGAGGGAGATCTCCTCCGGGTGGAAGGCCCCCCGCCTGCTCCTCCGCCTTCCTCGTCCTCCTCCTCCTCCTCCTCCTCCTCTGCCTCTGCCTCTGCCTCCTCCTCCTCCTCCTCCTCCTCCTCCTCATCAGGACCCGTTTCCCTCAGGACCCGCGTTTCCCCCGTGCCAATCCCGTCGCTGTCGGGGCCTCGGGCCGCGCGGACAGGCCAGGGGCCGCGACAGGGGCGAGCGGGCTCGGGGGGTGGGGGGGCGCATCGACGCCCCGTCGCCCATGCATCGCCGACGGTGGGCGAGACGGCCCACCCCGCCCGGGAGCATGCGGACCACCATCGGTGGCCTATCGCTGATCGGCGATGCTCGATGTATACATCGCCTGCTCGAGCTCGACGTTTCCCCTCCCTGAGCTGGCACGGGCGGGGCGGTGAGATCCTTGAATCGAGGCAGACCTCTCTCTCTCTCTCACAGTGTTTTTGGTTTGCTTCTCTCTCTCTCTCTCTTTCTCCCTCTCTCTCTCTCTTTTGTTTCTCTCTCTCTCTCTCTCTTTCTCTCTTTCTCTCCCTCTCCCTCGCTCCTTCTCATTCAAAGACTGAGAAGGACCTGAGCTGGCCCCTCCCCACCGTTCCCCCCTCAAAAAGGGTCGGTGACGCAGAGCCGGCCCCATGGGAAGAAGGGGCCCATGTTTCCCTGTCGCCGCGGGCTGCGCAGAGCATGACATCGTCGGATGTCTGGGAGAGCGCTAGAGGAGTAGCATCTACACGGTCGGGGCGCCGAAGAAGGAACCTGTTCGTTGGGGAGGGGCTCGGTGTCCCTTGATCGTTTCGCAGCGTGCCTCAGGTTGTCCTGAGGTGTTCCACGGGAAGTCGAAGTTCAACTTGTGGGGCAAAGGTGCCTCGGTCCTTACCTTGGGTTCCTTAGGGCAGCCTATCCTCGGCTCCTGGTGAGCAGCCCGCCACAGGAGAGGTCTGGGGAGTAAGTAGTGGCGTCGGTCTGTTTCTGTGTCCCCAGAGCTTCCCTCCTCCTCCCTCCTCCTCCTCCTCCTCCTCCTCCCTCCTCCTCCTCCTCCTCCTCCTCCTCCTCCTCCTCCTCCTCCTCCTCCTCCTCCTCCTCCTCCTCCTGTTCTCCTCCTCCTCCTCTTCCCCCTCCTCTCATCCCTTCCTCCTCCTCCTCCTCCTGTTCTCCTCCTCCCCCTCCTCCTGGCCTCCTTCTCCTCCTCGCCTCCTCCTCCTTCTTCTCATCCGCCTCCTCCACCTCATCTTCCTCCTCGTGAGCGAACAGCAAAAAATCCAGAGGTCCGCGCGGATTCTCTAGAGTGGGCGTGCTCCAGCGCTAGGGATTGGGGTCTCTGGTCCAGCTCGTCGTCCTCGTCATTCTCCTCGTGGTCCTCGTCCTCCTCCACTTCCTCCTCTTCCTCCCCCTCCTCCTCCTCCTCCTCCTCCTCCTCCTCCTCCTCTTCCACCTCCTCCTCCTCTCCCTCCCTCCTCCCTCCTCATCATTCATCCTTCTCCCCCTCCTCCTCCTCCTCCTCCTCCTCCTCCTCCTCCTCCTCCTCCTCCTCCTCTTTCTCCTCCTCCTCCTCCTCTTGGATCCTCCTCTGTGCGCCGCCATCGCCGCCGCCATCGCCGCCGCCATCGTCACCAGCAACACCATCGACGTCGCTATCATCCTGGAGGTTCTGGGCTCCTCCTCCTCCTCCTCCTCCTCCTCCTCCTCATTCCTTATCCTATTCCTTTTTGTCGTTTCTTTAATCCATCCTCCTCCTCCTCCTCCTCCTCCCTCTCCTCCCTCCTCCTCCCCGCGCCCCACGCCCTCCTCCCCCCGTTCCCTTCCCTCCCCCCTCCTTCTCCATCCTTTTCCTTACGCTTAACCCTTCTCTGTCGCACCCCAGGCGTGTCGGTAGGGCGGGTCGGGCGTTTCACCTGAGATGTCTTCGGCATTTCTGATCCTGGATTCTGAACTTCGCAACAGTTTCACGGATGGAGGGCTGGTCGTTTTCAACATGTGGTTCTCGCTTTAGCGCCGCGCACACTCGACTTACAATTGGCAGCCGTTTCACGGATGGAGGGCAGGCCGTTTTCAACATGTGGCCTTCGCTTGCGTGCCGCCCGCATTCGTCTTACGAGTTCAGCTTCAAGGAGGGAGGACATTTTAGTGTTGCGCGCATTCGTCTGAAGCGTGGAGGCAGTTCTTTTTCAACATGTGTTTTTCGCCGTAGCGCCACGTTCGTTGCGTTTGCAGCAGTTCAAGATTCGTATGGGCGATGTCCCAGATATGGGATCCTGACGCGGTTTCGGATTGCTAGGACGCAACGGTCATGTTGATTCGTTGTGTTGAAGTCTCAGGAATGATGATCTGGCACGACTTAGGACTGCCAGGACGCAACAGTAACGTTGCTTCTTGGCGCTTAAATCCCAGGAATGTTGTTGTGGCATGTCTGAAGATTTTCAGACGGTTGCCTTCCGATGAGGCACTTCCCGTAGTGGACATACTTTCTCGCAGGGGTTTATGAAGAGGGAACTAGGAGGGGGGGTCTATTGCCACATCGTTGATGCGTCTTCAGTTTGCACTGGTCCTTCTCCTCCTCTTCCTCCTCCTCCTCCTCCTCCTGCCTCCTCCCTGTCGTCGTCAGCGTCGCCGTCGCCGTCGTCGAAAGAGCCATCGTCCATCGACTCATCCTCCTTCGCCCTCCTCAATCTCCTAATGCGTCCTCCTCCTTTTCGATCCTCCTGGGCCTCGAAGCGTGACGACCCCAGACATCCTCGCGGCTGCCGGGGGCTGAGTATGACACTGCCAGTGCCGTTGCCAGTGGCATGATGTCAATGGTACCCGATCAGGGCAAGAGCGCTATGAATATTCCGGAGCGGCAGATGCATGAACATTCGGGGGTCCGCGCATACAGTCAAAAACCCTAATAAGGACGCGCGACTTTGCTCAGGGTACCCTTGCGTCCTTGCGTCCTTGCTTTTCCTTGCTCTTGCGTCCTTGGGATTTTCGTCGTCCGCCGCCCCAAAAATCCCAACGTCGGCTGCCAAGGGTCTTGCGTCCTTACCGCGCGTCCTTATTAGGGTTTTTGATTGTATCCCCTGGATCTGGGCTGGACCCCTCCCCTGATGGCGCCGCGGGCGCCGCCCCTGGCGCGCTCGGCGCGCCCCTGGGCAGAGGCGTCCGGCGTCGGCGCAGGACCCGCGCGGGGTTCCGGATACTCTTGTCGATGCGGCCTTTTGCTGTTGCTCTTGGCTGCCCTCCGTCTCGTCGTCGTCGTCGTGCTTCCCCTCCCTCCTCCTCCCTTCCCCCTCCCCCTCCTCCTCCTCCTCCTCCTCCTCCTCCTCCTCCTCTCCTCCTCCTCCTCCTCCTCCTCCTCCTCCGTCTCCTCCCCCTCCTCCTCCCCTGCGGCGCCTCTGGCGCGCTCCGCGCGCCAGGGACCGGGTCCAGCGCCGACCCACGACACCCCCTATGGGCATGCGCACGTTGATGCTTGTGCAGTCTGTCATTTTTGTTCGTATGCCCTTCGTCACCACCCACCAAACCACCCCAACCCAACCCGAAGGCTCAGATTTGCCCTCGATTTCTAGTGGGGGGGGGTTCGGGAAACATCGAAAAAACACGCGTGGAACCCTTACCCCCCCCAACCCGAAATTCGGGTCTTCGGGTTGGGTTGGGGTGGTCTGGCAGGTAGTCATCCTCCCTCCTTCTCCTCTCCCTCATTCCTGTCGGCCCCTGCGGCGCTGCCTATGGCGCGCTCCGCGCACCAGGGATGGGGGCCCCGCGTCGAACCAAGAAGTCCCTGCGGACCCCCGAATGCAATCGTTGTGTAGGGTCGTCCAGGGATCTCGCCCTGGGTAGCCTCGGCCGAATGTCCGTCCCGCTCCCAGCCTGCACGCGAGGAGGGGAGGCGGCTGTCGCCGAGGCATGGGGTCCTGAGGGAAACGTCCCGAGACGAAACGCGTCCTGGAGCATTTTGTTGCCTTGGACGAGCATCATTGCGAAGCACCTTGCATTCGTTGAGCAGGATAGTTTGCCTTCGAGCCATGTCTACCTTCAGTGAGCTTTTGCCCTCAGTCTTCGCCGTTCCTCGCCTCCCCTGTCCTCCTTGAGCTCCGAGGCCGTCTCAAAATCACTCAGGATGAAAGCTGGCCCCAGGGAAAAGGGTCCTGGGATCCAGGACCTCCGAGGAGGAAAAGGTACCGAGAGTCGCTACCCTTCCCTCGTTTTCCCCTCCTCGGGCCTTCCGGGAGGTCCTCGTCACCACTGCTGGATTCCTCGAAATTCTGGTTCGAACGCACCCGGGGAGAGGTCCAGTGAGTCGCGGCATCGGTACCTTTTGTTGGCGGCGAGCAAGGGGGGGAAGTGAGAAAGAGAAGGCCCTCTCAGAAGGCGGCTAGACTTCTCAGAAGCCCTCCGGCCTTCAGAGAAGTTTTCTGTGCCTTCGGGGAGGGCTTTGATAACTGCTCAGCAGGCTGGGGACTTCCCCCCAGGCTGGCCGCCGATTCTGGGTTCCCCAGGGCTCGCTTCCCGCAGGGCCCGTTCCGTTCTCGCTGGGAGGATGGGGGGCAGGGGCAGGAGGAGAGAGATGGCAAGACAGGCGTGAGGGAGGGAGGGAGGAGGGAGAGGGTGGAAGGGGAGAAAGGGGAGAGGAACGAGAGAGAGAGGGACGACAGAGGAAGGGAGGAGCGGGGGGCGAGGGAGCGAATCTGGGTTGGAGAAGGAGGAGGAGGAAGAGGAGGAGGAGGAGGAGGAGGAGGGGCGGAGTAGGAGGAGGAGGAGGGGGAGGACGAGGGGTGGGGGAGGGGAGGGGAGGGGGGAGGAGGGGGGAGGGGGAGGAGGGGGGAGGGGGAGGGCGAGAGGAGGGAGGATGCTGGGTGAGAGGGGCGAGGGCAGGATGGACGGCGTTGAGGAGGACCTGGTTGCTGGCAGATCCTTCTTCTCGCCTGCGCAGCCCGGAGGCGGAGCGAAGTCAGCGCCACAGGAAGAAGACCAGGAGCCCCTCCGCGCGCGGTCTGCCCTGGCCCGATCGGTCCGATCCGATATTGGTTTCGGCCGGCCCGAGCGGACTCGACTCCGATGTTCCGACGATGTGATGCGGGCCGAGGCTTGCATGACCGTCAGTTGCCTCCCCTCGTCCTCCCCTCCTTCTCCCGCGAGTGCCGGGGTGCACGCGCTCGCGCGCTCGGCGCTGTGATGCGCGCTGCCCCGGGGATCCCAGCCCGTCTTCGGCGCAGTCTTCTTTTTTGCAGCTGCCCTGGTTCCCCATTCTCCTCCTCCTCCGTCCCCTTCTCGTCCTCTGCCTCCTCCTCCTTGCCCTTCTCCTGCGAGCGCAGGGGTTCACGCGCTCGCGCGCGTGGCGCTGTGATGCGCGCTGCCCTTTTTTGTTGGCACATTGTCGGAGCAGTCATCTTTTTACAGCTGTCCAGCTTTCCCCTCCCACTTCCTCATCTTACTCCTCCTCGTCCATCCTACTCCTCCTCCTCCTCCTCCTCCTCCTCTTCCTCGTCCTTCCTCCTCCTCCTCCTCCTCCTCCTCGTCCTTTCTCCTCCTCCCTCGCCCCCTCCTTGTAGCAGGGCGTCCTTTGTTGTGCTTCCACCGCCCACGGCTCCGCGAAAGCGGCCAGGAGCGGTAGTGCCACACCGTGTGTGCTCACCTTTACTCCAGCCTGGGTCAGGAGCCGCAGCTCGAAACAACATTAGTCTGGCGAAGGGCTCGACCGTATCCAGCGCTGAGCACCATCGTTCTATGCAACGCATTCGGAGGAGCTCCCTATAGGGTGACGAAGCGCGTGAGGGGTGTGCCATCATGGCTGCGGTGGGCGCATGCGAACGCAGCCAATGAGGCCGTCGGTGGAGCTCCCCATGGGGCCACGAAACGTCAGAGGGGTGAGCTGCAATGGGTGCGGTGGGCGCGTGCGAACGCTGGCATTTTGGCCGTGGTGGAGCCTTCTATGGGGCCACGAAGCGCGTGAGGGGTGTGCCGCAATGAGCGCGGTGGGCGCATGCGAACGCAGCCAATGAGGCCGTCGGTGGAGCTCCCCATGGGGCCGCGAAACGTCAGAGGGGTGTGCTGCAATGGGTGCGGTGGGCGCGTGCGAACGCTGACATTTGGGCTTCGGTGGAGTTCCTACGAAACGTGTGTGAACGGTTGAGGGGTGTGCCAGCAGGGGTGCGGTGGTCGCATGCGACCGCTGATATGTGGGCCATCGGTGAAGCTCCCTACGGGGCCACGAGGCGTGTGAGGGGTGTGCCGAGCTTGTTGACTGGTGCGGAGAGCAGACGCAGGGATGGGATGAGGGAGGAGAGGGAGGGCTTGGTTGGGACGCAGGGATGGGAAGCGTGCTCGGTTGATTTAAATGTACTTCGTGGTTGTAGGCCTGTCATAGTACGTGGCATGAGGCGTCCGAAAGAAAGAGGAGAGGGAGGAATGATGCGGGAACGCGGGGCGCTGTCTCTTCAAAACGAGGGTTGGGAACAAGTTTTGCGTCCTGTCGCAGCCATCCTATCCGATTGGATTCCGGGTCCATGCCGATGCGGCCCGATCCGACGTACGCTCCGATCCGATCCGAGGTCTCCCGATGCGATGCTGACGGATCTTGCACCTTCCCTGCGGTGTTTCCACACCATCCTATGGTGTTCGGCTCTTGTTTTGAAGTCACAGCGCCCCGTGTTCTCCTTCCTCGTTCTCCCTCTCCATCCTCCCATCGTATCCTTGCTTTGTCCCTCCGCATGTCCCTGTCTGTGTCGGCGCACCCCTCACACGTTTCGTGGCCCCATAAGGAGCTCCACCGAAGGACCCAGGGGCAGCGCCCTCATGCGGTTCCACCCCCATTCCAGTGCATCCCTCACACGATTCTTGGCCCCATAGGGTGCTCCACCGAAGGCTCCAGTGGCAGCGCCCGCATGCAGTTCCACCCTCAATTTCGATGCACCACTCACACGCGTCGTGGCCCCATATGGAACTTCACCGAAGGCTCCAGTGGCAGCGCCCGCATGCGGTTCCACCCCCATTTCGGTGCACCACTTACACGTTTCATGGCCCCAGAGGGAGTTCCACCCAAGGCCCCAATAGCAGCGCCCGCATGCGGTTTCACCTGTCATGTCGGCGAACCCCTCACACATGTCGTGGCGCATATGGAGCTCCACCGAAGAACCCATTGGCAGCGCCTGCATGCGGTCTCACCTTCAATTTCGGCACACCCCTCACACGTTTCGTGGCGCCGTAGGGTGCTCCACCGACGGCCCCAGTGGCCCCTGTTGCTGGCACCCCTTCTTCATTTCATTCCCCTCGCGATGCTCGAAGGCCCCAGCGGCAGCGCCCGCATGGCGGCCTACATTTCGGCATCCCTTTCACGCGCTTCGTGGCCCCCAAAGGAGATCCACCGAAGACGATGCTCACAACGACGGTACTCACAACTGCATATGGTTGGTTCCTTCGCCAGGCTAATTGTGTTTCATTCTGATGTGTTTTTTGAGAGCCCCGATGCCCGAAACGGGATTCCAGAGGCCACAAACTGAGACGAACCGGCCGCCTCGTTTTTTCCCATCCTGGGTCCTCGATCCTTTATCTTCGATCTTCGGAAGCCTTGAGATCGTGCCTCCCCTCTCTCGCCTCCCCCACCAGCGTGCGTGGAGCCAGGCAGGCGCAGCTGCGCATTGAGCCAGGGCAGGCGCCGCAGCTACCCACCGGGGGCGGGGGTCGGGGGCTATTGATGGCTGTGTGTGAGTGGAGGATTTCCAGGCTAGGCTCTATGATCCAGGCCTCGGAAAAATAGCGAACACTCATGCCACATTCATCTGTGAACGCCTCCCCCTCCCCCCAATGTTCAAAGTTGGCGGTGGGTCTGATGAATTGCACCTCGACCGCAGTCTCCCCCCCGCATGCCAACTTTGAGTTTTGGGGGACGGGCGGGTGTTCACTAATTGTTTCCCTCTACCGTCAGGCGATCGCAAACATGGATCAAGGGGGCGTGGATTAGCGACGGGTCCCGCTTCCAGGGGACATCGCGGACTTCCGCCGCCGAGTGAGACGCGACCTGGCCGCACTTTGGGGACGGCACCTCCCCCGATCCGTGGATTTGGTGACCGCGCGCCAAATCCATGGATCGCTACTCCATGTTTGCGCGCCCCCGATTCTATGTTTGTCAGCCGCTCCTGCACGGGCAGGACCAAGTAAGGCTAACAGTCCAACGCACTAGAAAGTGCAAGGCTTCTGTCCAGCAGCGCAGTTTTGCCAAGACCTGGCAGACCCTGACAGTCAGGGACTTCCCCCCTCCCTCGTCATCCCCAGCGTGTTCAGGCAGCCAGGCTAGGATAGCGGCCAGCACGTGTGGTGGAAAAGCCGGGGTTGACCATTGGCTTGGGGTGTGGAGGATTCGCAGTCCTATTTTTTGGCAGGAGTTTCAGCCTCCTCGTGCACGGGGAGGACAAAGCAAGGTTTGCACAGCAAGCACCAGGATGTGCAAGTCCTGCCCCTCCCGGTGTCCCTCGCTTCCTTCCGACCTCAGAGCAGCGGCTGGCACCCCGTGCCAGCGGCGCAGGCCGCCGCGCATCTCCTAGCTTATCCTGTCGCCGGCCTGCTGGTGTCAGAAAAAGAGGAGGAGGAAGAGGAGGAAGGAGGAGGAGGAGGAGGAGGAGGAGGAGGAGGAGGAGGAGGAGGAGGAGGAGGAGGAGGGAGGAGGAGGAGGAGGAGGAGGAGGAGGAGGCCTCTCTGGCTTCTGGAGGCGGCTTCTGAGGATGCGCGGAGGTGGTCTCGTGGAAGGTCGGGCGCGGGCCTCAGCGCTCCGCAGGGCAGCGTCTGCCAAGACGTGGCAGGCCCTCAGATCCAGGGACGGCAGGGATCGGTGGAGCCGCGCTCGAGCCTCTCCAGGCAACGTGCGCGGCCAGATAGTCAGAGGAGGGGAAAGGTACCCATACCTCTACCCGCCCCTCCTCTTCCTCGTTTTGGGCAGCCTGGGATGCCCTCGTCGCCGCCGCTGGATTCGCTTCGAGATCCTGGTCAGGACGCACCCTGGGAGAGGTCCGGGGAGCAGCGGCATCGGCAGTTCTTGGTTTGCCTCCCCAGATCGAAGTATGGCAGCGTCGCTCGTTGGCCCAGCAGCGCAGCGGTTCGGGACATCTGTTTGTATCCTTCCTCATCTCCCCCCCCCCCTCTGTGGGGTAGGGCTCGGTGGAGCCTCGCCTCTTCGGCAACGCCTCAGTGGAGGGTCAGTTGCTGGTTTTGCGCGATTCTGCTTCCGTTTCCGTAGAGTCACACCCTCAAGCGAAACTCAACGAAACGTTGTCATCGCGTCCTGCGTTCTTCGCGCATCGCATCTGCGCGCTTCGGACCACGACTTCTCCCGGTGCTGTCTTGGTTCTCTGGATCGTGACACGGATGCTCTTTGTCTTCTCTTCTTGCAACTTTGTGCATCTTGCATCGCACCTTCCCTCGACAGTCCAGTGTCTGGCAGCGGCGATCTCGAATTGCTCTGCGTGGAGGAGGAGGAGAATGAGGAACGAGGAGGAGGCGGAGGCGGAGGAGGCGGAGGATTAGGGGAAACGAGGATAAGGATGAGGATGAGAATGGGGATGAGGATGATGATGCTGATGCTGATGATGATGCTGATGATGAGGAGGAGGACGAGGAGGAAGATGAGAAGGAGGAGGAGGAGGAGGAAGAGGATGACGAGGATGACGACGATGATGATGCTGATGATGATGCTGATGATGAAAATGATGCTGATGCTGATGCTGCTGATGTTGATGCGAATGGAATGATGCTGATACTGATGAGGATGTCATGATGATGCTGATGATGATGAGTATGATGATGATGATGATGGTGATGATGCTGCTGCTGATGATGCTCCTGCTGATGCTGATGAGGATGGGATGATGATGCTGATGATGAGGATGATGCTGATGCTGATGATGATGATTATGATGATGCTGATGATGATGTTGACGATGATGATGGTGGTGGTGGTGAGATGGTGGTGGTGATGATGGCTGATGATGATGATGATGATGATGATGATGATGATGATGATGATGATGATGATGATGATGATGATGATGATGATGATGATGATGATGATGATGATGATGATGATGATGATGATGATGATGATGATGATGATGATGATGATGATGATGATGATGATGATGATGATGATGATGATGATGATGATGATGATGATGATGATGATGATGATGATGATGATGATGATGATGATGATGATGATGATGATGATGATGATGATGATGATGATGATGATGATGATGATGATGATGATGATGATGATGATGATGATGATGATGATGATGATGATGATGATGATGATGATGATGATGATGATGATGATGATGATGATGATGATGCTGATGATGATGATGATGATGATGATGATGATGATGATGATGAGGAGGAGGAGGAGGAGGAGGAGGAGGAGGAGGAGGAGGAGGAGGGGTCTTCGTCAGCTCCTGCAATCAAGACGCCGAACGAATGGCCACTGGGGTCAGGAGGGGCTACGGTTTTCGGGCCGCTCCTTAGGCGTAGGTCCAGGGAGCTCTTCGTGGCCGGGTCTCGGCGTGGCCAGGAAATCCCCTTGGCTTCGTCGTGCAGTGGAGATCCATGCCAAGAAGCGCCCTGCGTGCCTCCAGGTTGCCATGGGTTTCTTGGGTTTCGAGGGTGCGATGGAAAGCGCGGTGTGCCCACGCCAAACATCCATGGACGTCCTGGGGTCTCACGGTCGGGTCTCTTGTGGAAGGTCTCTGGTGTTCGGGGCCCTACTGTACAGTGGGAGCGCGCAACGAGAAACCATCTGCTTTTCGTCAGGGTATCCTGGGCTTCTTCGCTCTTCGCGCTGCGCGGTGACTTCCCGCAGCCGTTGAAGGAGCTGCTGCGTTCAGTGTGCTCCAGGTTTCCCCTCAGGTGCTCCTCGCGCACGGGTTCTCAGGGTTGGGTGTCTTGCGAGGGTTTCTTGCCGCCGCGCCCGCACTGTCTAGTAGCACGATCTCTGTACTTACCGCATGCCTTCTCTTGTAAACGTGCTGGGGCTAGGTCGTCGTTGGGCGGGGCTGCATGTTGTGTGCTGCTTTTTCACGTCGGCATCATCAATACGCAGGCCGTCTTCACGGTGCTTGCCTCCAGAGTCTAGCAATACGCCAGTTTCTTTCGCTTGGATTCCGTGACTGCGCGGCAGGAGTAGCAAGAAAGGAAAAAAGGACGATTGGCATGGTGGGAAAGAGAAGAAGGAGAAAGGTAAAAAGAAAGGCGACGCACAGGCCAAGGCACGTCACATCCTGAAAGCCAAGCGAAAGGGCAAAAAGGCCGGGAGCGGCGACTCTGGAAGCGACGAGGACGTTGCCAGGCCAAAAAGAGATAGGAGGAAGGAGGCGGACGGCGGAAAGAAGGCGAAGAAGAAGAAGAAGCGAAAGAAGGCCGCCAGGGCGAAGCAGGAGGACGCTGGGTCCGAGGCCGAAGAGGCGGAGGAGGCACAGGTCCGGCGACGATGAAAATGCACGGCCACGCGCGCGCATCCTGGCCGGGCCCACTCGGCGGCGTGCCGGGGGGGGGAAGTGATAGGGAGCGGCGCTTCTCAGAGGGGTCAGAAGTCCCCATCGGCCTTCTGAGAAGTTTCCCAGGCCTCCCTCGAAGACAGAGAAAGCACTTCTCAGAAGCCGCGAGGGCTTCTGAGAAGCCCCGCCGCCTTTGAGACGGCCTTCTCCTTCTCATTTCCTTTGCCCGGCGCCAAATTTGGTCGTTGGGTCATAACTCGGGTCTCCGGCGGCCGTTCGGGACGATGCGGGCACTCCTTGAACGCCCTCGGCGAGGGGCAGCTGCTGGCAGGCATCCCGAGGCGAGAAAACCGCCGAGAACCGACGAAAGCGTCCGAAGACCTCGAACCTCAAACCCGGAACTGCCACCAGAAGTACCCAGGCCACCCCCCATCACGAGGTGGAAGAATTCGCGCCACTCTTTTTTTCAGCGTTCGGCCTCCATGGGGCCCGGGGGGCGGCTGTCAACAAACAGCAGCTCTGTACGAGGAGCAAGTGCTCTGGCCAGGGGGCGGCCCGTCCTGGTGCTCCAACAGGCATGCCCCCCCTCGCTCGCTCGCCGCCGACATGCAGGGCCCAGCCGCGATCGGTGCAGATGCCTCCCTGGCACCGCCAGGGTGGCGTGTGCACCGGCCCCGGGGCCCAGGATTCGGGCCGGGCGAAAGGGGGGGATTGGGAAAGGGGGGGTTACGAAATCTGCTGCATGCAGCTGGTTTCGGCCCCACCGAGGGGCCCATTCCTCGATACATGGCCGCCTCCCGGCGCCGTGAGGCGCCGGGACAATCAGCTGCGTGAGCTGATTCTCAAACCCCCCCTTTGCTATCCCCCCCTTTCGCCCGACCCGAAGGACCCCGGCCCAGGCCTGGGCCTCAAAATGGACGATATAAGCAACTTCGTGTTGTGAAATCGATCCGATCAATTTTCCTAGCTTCTGAGACCTTAGGGGGATGTGGGGCTCACGGGGAGACAGCCGGGAAAATCAGCTACGTGAGCTGATTCTCAAACCCCCCTTTGCTATCCCCCCCCTTTCGCCCGACCCGAAGGATGTGGGGCTCCCCGGGGTGGGTGCGCGGACACGCCTGGAGCCCCCGGACGTCGTGATGCCGCAGGGCGACAGGGCCCCGGGAGGTCGAGGGCTCAGGCGGGCACGGCCCTCTGCAGGAGGAGTATTCAAACACAGTCAAAAATGTCAGGGGAGGATTGTTCTATTTTTTGGGACTATTTTTGAATATGTTTGGTTGGCACTATTTTCAATCTTTTCGCCCAACATCCGCCTTTAGGAGGACATGCCCGACCGAAGTCGGGCATGTCTGGGGAGGACTGTTTAAAATGTTACAGCACGTCAAGAATGTCAAGATATTCAAGCATAGTCAAACATGTCAAACATAGCCAAACATATTTAAACATGTGGGGGCTATTTGCGAATATTTTTGGTTGGCACTAGTGTCAATCTTTTCGCCCCAAAATCCGCCTGTAGGACGACATGCCCGACGTGAGTCGAGGGTCCTCTCTCGGCGGCCAGCCCGGGGGGGCGGTGAGCTGGGGGGGCAGGCCTCCTCAGAAGGCTCGGAAGTCCCAATCGGCCTTCCGACAAGTTTTCTGTGCCGCCCCCGAACACACACACACACACACACACACACACACACACGCACGCACGCACATACAACAAGTATCAGGAGGAGAAAAAGCACACAGACACAATTCATCGTCGATTTCTCAGAACATATGAATCTATGGGCAGTGGGGGGAAGACAGAAGCCCAGAACATATGGGAAAATATAGGGGGATCCTTTTGTTTGCGTGTCTTTGTTTGCGTGTCCCAAGGCCCCCTTCAAAGCACTCCTCAGAAGGCGCAGGGGCTTCTGAGAGGCCGCGCCGCCCTCCGAGAGGGCCCCGGGCCCACGAGGTGCCGCGAGGCCGCAGGGTGCGGGCCCCCGGGAGTGTTCGAGGCTCCTTTTCCCAGGGCTCGAGCAGGGACGTACAGTCAAAAACCCGCGCGGCTTTGCTCGGGGTGCTCCAGATTTCGTAATCAAGGGAGGGGGGTCTCATTTCGGGGGGGTCTCTTCCAGGCTATCTTGGAGGGCCTGGGGGGGTCTGGGGACGATGTTTTGGAGGGTTCTCCCACGGGGGGGGGTCTGAAATGGCTTGTCTTGGAAGGTCCAGACCCCCTCCCTTTTATTACGAAATCTAGAGTACCCTTGCGTCCTTGTTCTTCCTTGCTGTTGCGCCCTTGGGGTTTTCGTCGTCCGCCGCCCCCAGAAATCCCGACTTCGGCTTCCAAGGGTCTTGCGTCCTTGCCGCGCGTCCCTATTAGAGTTTTGACTGTAGCGTTTTGGCCGGGCTCTAGCCCCGTGGTCGGGCCGAGGTGTAAGATCGAGGGCGGTTCGGGGAGGGTGCCTTCATGTTTTTCGTGTCTGAGGGGTGTTCTCGTGCATCCCGGGGAGGGTACCCTTGGGTGCTCTGTGTGTTCTGGCCGGCGGGGGGCCTCGTGTTCTTGAAGGCCGTTGCTCTGTCCCAGGTCCGGCTGTACCGACACATGTTCTGGGAAACTTGTTGTGGTTTGTATTGATCGCTACTGGGGCATTTCTGGCTAAGAAAGCTTTGTTGTGAAACGTCGTTTTTATATTGTGAGAACGCTGCTCTTGTTGAACTGTCTTTTGTTTTGAAAGCATGTCAAGGTCGGTATGCATGTATGTGAGCACCAAGGCGGCGGGGCTTCTCAGAAGCCCTCGCGCCTTTGGGGAATTGTTTTGTGTGTGTGTGTGTGTCTTCGGGGAAGGCTCAGAAGACTCCTAAGGAGGCCGATAGGGACCTCCGAGCCCTCTGAGAAGACCCCGCCCTTGTCACTCCCCCCCCCCCTCTGGCTCGCCGCCGACGATGGGGGGGTGCTAATCATGGGGGGGGGGGCTGGGTCCTTCTCGTCGCCTGCCCGGCTCCCCAGCCCTGGCCCCCTCTCCAGAACTCGCATTCCAGGGAGCCATTCGCACCTGTCTCCTGCGCTCGCCGCCGACGATCTGGGGCGGGGGGGGCCTGGGCACTTCCCGCGGGGCCACGCGTGCGAGAGGGGCCCTTCGCCAGAGGCACAGTCGGTGCGGGCCTGCCTCCGGGATCTCTCCCGAGGGCGCTGGGCCCTGCAGTGTGCGGTTCAGCACCGGCCCCCGCGCGCTGTGCGGGGCTCCGGCTCCCCC